AACCATCTGCGCTCTCTCATCCGATCCCAATGATCTGTCTGTCCTTACACCTGCACATTGCTTAATCGGCAGACTACTGATTAATATGCCCGAGCCTGATCTCTCGTCTGTCCCAGCCAACCGTCTGTCCACCTGGAAGCACACCATGAAGGTGCGACAAGATTTCTGGGCTCGCTGGAACCTGGAATATGTCAACGAGCTCCAAGTCCGTACTAAATGGACTAAAGACGGAGAAAAAATCAGCGTCGGAACAATCGTCCTCATCAAGGAAAAGGGCCTTCCCTGCGGTCAATGGGCGCTAGGGAGAATCGAAGAAACCCATCCAGGTCAAGATGGAGTGGTGCGAGTCGTTTCCGTGAAAACGGCAACCGAAATATTAAAGCGAACCGTGAAGTGTTTATGTCCACTTCCCTTCGATCAATAATTTAAGCGAACATTCAACTGTAAACATCTAATTGTAAATTGTCTTACCGATGTAGGGCAATTAGATGTACATTAAGGTTGATCAGTACCCTCTCAACGGGGGGAGTATGTTGCGACGTAAATATAGTGGGCCCACTACGAAGCCTTGCCGAGCGAGGCTTCTAGAAAAAACCAAGCGCCCTTCGGACCTTTAGTCGAGCGCTCTAATCTCCCGATAGGGAAAGAATAGAGGAATGCTTGAGTCACCAGTAACGCATCATCCGATGAGGTTCGAGTCATCGACCCAAAGGTGCATCTGATAAACGCTTGTTCTAGAACGTTCGAAGCCGCGACGGCCAGTCGTCACAAAGAACTGCGGACATATATATATAGGGCCAACGGTCACGGCAGGACACTTCGAAGTCGTCCCTCGTAGAATACAGATCGAGCCCTTGTCCGCGTTCGTCGCTAGATATATCGAGGCCGAGTCCTCGCGTTCGTGATTTCGTGCATACCAGAGACCGAGCTCTCTGGTAAGAGATATCGAGGCCGAGTCCTCGCGTTCGTGATTTCGTGCATACCAGAGACCGAGCTCTCTGGTAAGAGATATCGAGACCGAGTCCTCGCGTTCATGTAATAATTTCGAATAAACTATATAAAACAAACGAAACTAGTGTATGGACCTAAACTCCCACACACACAACACATACGTTCTCTATTTTTATTTTCTCAAACTCTACTATTATCGTTTCTGGATTAATTACGCGACAGCCGAGGCAACCACTGTAACAGGCCGACCTTTGGCGCCTCCGCTTTCGCCCTAATAAAAGAAATCCGTAAAATTTGCGTTAATTGTTAAGGAATAAACCATTAAAATGCTGACATCAACGATTCTCAAGAACGGAGCTACCTCCACACGAACCGTTGATCTCAGCCACGCACGGGGGCGCTACGCGCCTCCACTTCAAGCCGCAGCGGTAAACCGCGCGTTCAAACCCCTGGAAATTAATACTTTTAATATCGTCGCAAATCTAGCGACGGAATTCTAGAATGTTCCGTGTTTACGCACTTCGGAGCGGCATAGCGGAACTCTATGCACAAAAACGCGAGTTGGTATGCGCGTTAATTATTCGGGAACGCAAGATGCAGTTAATAAGGAGTAAGCGGGAAAATGACGAGCGAAGGCCCCCTTTTAAGCTAACCAAGACACAACCCAGGGAGAAACGTGAAGTCGAATAGACGTATAATAGATGTCTATTCGACACGTCTAAAGTAAATCGAATGTCGCATCTAAATAGATGTCGATTTGACTTTTTTAGACGCGTCTAATAGACGTCTTATAGATACGTCTACAAAACGTCTTGTGTAAACGGACAGGCTCCTGGGGCTCGTTTCTTGAATTTATTCGAAGAAGAAACGTATGCGAAAATTCTGCTCTTACAGAAAAGTTGCAAGTTGATTGGCTATTCGCATGGCTTTAACCAATCGACTTTCAACTCGGGAAAAAATTTTCACATATGATCATATATAATCATATACAGGGTGTCCTAAAACCACCGGAGGTCCTCTTAATGACAGATTCCTTAGGACATTTCCAGACGAAAATCCTAATACAAAAGTGTCGAGGCTATAATAGTTTTTAAATTAGAAGCGATTATTTTCCACAAATGATAGGGCTGAAATTTCGCGCGCTCAGGAACGGCGAAATGACAAGTGATATAAGTGCTCCTATGAATATCGCTCTTTTTATGATGTTATGTTTATTGTATAAATTTACAATAACATTGTCGTTACACGTTTTTTCGCTTCTTTACACGTTTCATTAGTACATTCTCTTTATGAATAATGGACGTGTAAACTTAAGACATCTAAAAAATAATTCAAGTAAAAATTTGCAACATGTTGCAACTTCAGCTGCCAAAGTAGTCGATCAATATCAATGACCATGAAGCTGGTTACTATGCTACGATGTAAATCAAATGTAACAGAATTAAGTTTTATATTAATTTTTTCCATTTTTAAATAGTTTTATCATAAATTATGCGTATAAAATATACGAACGCAATATTTATAAGCGGGAATAGTTTTTTTATTGACTCTACAGCATATGAAAGTCACGGAATATACTACTATTTATAAAACTTACGCTGCAAGAAATACACAAGAAATACAAATTGCAATCATTTAGTAGACGGCAAATAATAAAACCAAACACAAATTTTACCATTTCTAACATATTTTAATTGTCTATTAAGTACAACAAGTTAACAAGTAAACCAAATGCAGTTTTACAAATGTGTGAAGAAGATGTATCCACAAGTATTCGTAAGATAAGTCGAAGAGTGAATATCTCTAAGAGCTCAGTACAACTCATTTTAAAAGAAAATCAGATGCATGCGTATCATTTTACGAAGGTTCACAATTTACTACCGCAAGATTATACACGCCGAATTAACGCTTTTATAATAAGTGCTCAAAATGACCACCCTCGCATTGAATACATAATTGCGCGCGTCGCAATAAACTATTTGTTGCGTTGCTAATCATTTCCGGTGTTATTGTAGCAACCGCTGCAACAATGCGTTCGTCTAATTCCTCGCGATTATTAATTGGCCACTTATAAACATGCTCTTTTATGTGGCCCCATAAAAAATAATCGAGAGGAGTCAGATCGGGTGACCGTGCTGGCCAATTTATGGGACCACCGCGTCCTATCCACCTTCCTGGAAACTTTTCATTCAATGTCTGCTGGACACATCTTGCACTATGTGGTGGCGCACCATCTTGTTGAAAGGTGAGCCGTTGTCGCATATTTAATGGAACATCTTCCAAGAGTTCTGGCAAATTGTTGATTAAAAAGTTATTGTATATGTTGCCATTAAGCCTCATAGGCATTTCAAACGGTCCAATCTGTAATTTAATGTTGAAAATCTTGCATCATTTTTTACAAAAGCTTTAATACATAATTGAACAATAATACCATAAATAAACCAGATCTACCCTGTAATAAGTAAAAAGTACGTACAATAATAAATATAACTTACTATTAAATTATTCTGTATGCCGGCCCATAGGTTTATATTAAAACGATGCTGATAATTTCGAATGTGATATCCATGTGGGTTTTCATTGCTCCAAATGTGAGAATTGTGCATGTTGAATGAACCCTCGCGCGTAAAGCAGGATTCATCCGTAAATAGAATTGTTTCAATAAAACCCGGTTCTTGTGCCAATATCCATGTACAAAAATTAATTCGGCGTGCATAATCTTGCGGTAATAAATTGTGGACTTTCGTAAAATGATACGCATGCATCTGATTTTCTTTTAAAATGAGTTGTACTGAGCTCTTAGAGATATTCAATCTTCGACTCATCTTACGAATACTTGTGGATGGATCTTCTTCACACATTTGTAAAATTGTCTCTTCATTTTCCATTGTACGAGCGTATCGTTCGCGTCCGGCACCAATATTTCTACGTGCGGGTAATACGGATCCTGTTTCTCGCACTCGATTTATCAATCGCAAAATTACGTTATCATTTGGGGCTCTACGCTGTGGATAGCGTATGGCGTACTCTTGCGCGGCAACAGCTGCATTTCTACCGAATTCACCATAAATGAGTAACATATCAGAATACTCGATAGGAGTGTAATCCATTTTTAATTGCTTTGAAAGAAATATTAATTTCTAGGTTAAGAAAAGATATCGATCATTTTATTGTTATGAACAAAAGAAGGTAAAAAATGACATGGGTAAACAACGCTGGTATAAAATTGCTAATATCCATTTTTTTATTTTAAATTTTTCAAATATTAAGAGGATCCTGAAATCTCCTGTACTTTTCTTTCACTTTTTATAACATGTTCATAATTTATGATAAATTCGGTTGAATGTAACTGTTGCCGCACAAGAGTGCAAAATACGTTTTCGAGAGCGTAAAGTTCAAAATTTTAACGTAATTTTACAATTAATAAATCAAGTACAAAAACAAGATTTCTCATTACCCGTACGCAAAAATTGGTGCTGGACGAGAACAGAACGCTCGTACGAAAATAAGGAGGCGGTTTTATTAATGTGCGAAGAAGATTCATCCACAAGTATTAGCATGCGTATTAGTTTACAAACGTTCACAATTTACTGCAAGATTGTGCACGCCGAATTAATTTTTGTACATGGATATTGGCACAAAAAGAATATGTTTATAAGTGGCCAATTAATAATTGCATGGAATTAGAAGAACGCATGTTGAAGCGGTTGCTACAATAACACCGGAAATGATTAGCAACGCAACAAATAGTTTATTGTGACGCGCACAATTATGTCTTCAATGCGAGGGTGGTCATTTTGAGCACTTGTTATAAAAGTACTAACTGACAATTAAAATATGTTAGAAATGGTAAAATTTGTGTTTGGTTTTATTATTTGCCGTCTACTAAATGATTGCAATTTGTATTTCTTGTGTATTTCTTGCAGCGTAAGTTTTATAAATAGTAGTATATTCCGTGACTTTCATATGCTGTAGAGTCAATAAAAAAACTATTCCCGCTTATAAATATTGCGTTCGTATATTTTATACGCATAATTTATGATAAAACTATTTAAAAATGGAAAAAATTAATATAAAACTTAATTCTGTTACATTTGATTTGCATCGTAGCATAGTAACCAGCTTCATGGTCATTGATATTGATCGACTACTTTGGCAGCTGAAGTTGCAACATGTTGCAAATTTTTACTTGAATTATTTTTTAGATGTCTTAAGTTTACACGTCCATTATTCATAAAGAGAATGTACTAATGAAACGTGTAAAGAAGCGAAAAAACGTGTAACGACAATGTTATTGTAAATTTATACAATAAACATAACATCATAAAAAGAGCGATATTCATAGGAGCACTTATATCACTTGTCATTTCGCCGTTCCTGAGCGCGCGAAATTTCAGCCCTATCATTTGTGGAAAATAATCGCTTCTAATTTAAAAACTATTATAGCCTCGACACTTTTGTATTAGGATTTTCGTCTGGAAATGTCCTAAGGAATCTGTCATTAAGAGGACCTCCGGTGGTTTTAGGACACCCTGTATATTATTATATAAGTAGTAGTACCTGTAGTCAATTTTGATGTCAATGTATTTTGTGATGTCAACGTATTCTGTGATGAAGATTATGAGAGTTCATCAGGTTTATCAGGTTTATTTCCAGTTTTTTTATTCTTTCTCTCTTCAGCAACAACAAATTCAAACTCTCTGGTTGGTGATTTTTCATGTACACTGTCACTTATAGATGGACTAGAAAGATACAGATTTTGAGTCTCGTCTAGTACAGGCTGAGAAAGACATTGATTGTCATTTAATATCTCAGTGTTACTGTGTGATAGCGGATGTGGTGATTTTTTAAAATGTTGCACATTCGATGGTGACAATATTGACGGCGACTGTGGTTCAGACCTGCTACTTCCGCTTGTTTCAGGAGCCTTTTCTTGTACTTTGGAGCACGATATACTATCAACTGTCTTCTGTTTCAACTTAATAATATTTTCTAAAGACATTGCTTTTTTCCGTTGTTCTGCTTTGATAGCTGCTTGCTGCCTAATATTAACAATTCTATCCAGTAACTTGTGTTTATTATGAACAGCTGTTGTTGATGCTGGGACAAGAGTAGTTGTCTTTCCTTTGTTTTTGTCAGAAACAATTATCAGCGGAGCAACATTTTCTTTGGATGTAACATTGGAAGACTTTGTCATAGAAGACAGACCAGGAGAAAATAGTGGTGGAGAAGGAACTGACATCTTTGACTTTAATTTACTCTGTTTCCTCTTTTTAGTAGAGTCAGAGTCAGATGAATCGGAAGATGAAAATTGATTCAGGATT